AATCCACCCCAGGGAGAGGAGATCAACACCTCACCTGCTGTGTTCCTCCTTCGGGGGTTAGGAAGCCTCGGCCTCTAAAGCAAACTCCAGGAAACTTGTTTTATGAGCTCAGAAAGTCTCCTCCCGAGTCACTCACCTGTTCTGCCGGCAGAGGCTGGTCCAGCATTTCAACATCTGGATGTTGGGGGAGGTTGTAGAGCTTGCACAGGTCGGAGATTATTCGCTTCAGGTGCTGCAAAAGCTGTCGGGAGACCAGGCAAGTATCAGAGAAGCGCAGAGACCCACGTGCCAAGCTACGCCTCAGCTGTCCTCAGCGCTGCAACGCTTTCCCTCACAAGCGAGCGAGCGCAGGCCCAGAGGCCGCTCCTTCCTGCTCCAAGCAGCAGTGGACACGGGGGGAAAAAATACACCCCAGCACCAAACTCAAGAGAAGTCAGAGCTGCTCATCCCAAATTTCCCGAACCCTTATGAGACAAGAGGCACCCCTGCCTTGGGCCCTTGGAGGCACACAGCAGGGATTTTACCCTCCTGAAGCAGCCAGCCTCTCGCCACCCCCCCAGCCAGCGCCGCCTCGCCAGCGTATTTCCTTTCCTGACTTCCACCAGCCTCTCCAGGATAGCTGCCAGGTTCGGATCGTCCGACTCCACAGACCATATTGGGGGAACAGCTGGATAAGACTCCTGGAGAGAAGGAGAAGGTGGTGTTTGAGCTGCCGCAACTGCCTCCGTCCCACCGACGCAGCTGGCGGGGAACGAAGCAGCGAGCCAGGCAGGACGGGGAGCTGCAGCTCCACGTCTCTTGCAAACGGATCCCTCCAGACCGCGAAGATCAGCGGGACAGCCCGCGAGCGACTGCATCCACCCTCCAGGCTAATCCCGGGGCCGAGGGCAAACCAAACCCCTGCTCCAGCCGCGCCGATCTGGCTCAACTCCGTACCGCTTCCCCCCCAGCCTGGGGCAGCAGGGTGGAATACAGAAGGTGGTGAAGTTTTGGCCACCCCTTTGGTCGCCGGGGCCTCTGGGGGTGGTAAAGCGGTTAAGGCAGGACACCAAGGGCGTTTCACGCTGCCCCGCGGGACTCCTGCCTCCCCAGCTCTGGACCAGAAGCGCTGCAGGAGAAGAATCAGGCATGCACAACCCGACACCACCCGTGCAGGGGCAGAGGCCAAGCAGGCACCTTTAATCCAG